CGCAGAGTGTGACGCAGATCGCTGAGGTCAGGATGTGATACAGAGCGCAGAGGTCAGGGTGTGACACAGAGGTCAGGGTGTGACACAGAGCGCAGAAGTCAGGGTGTGACGCAGAGCACAGGGTGTGATGCAGAAGTCAGAGTGTGATGCAGAATCCAGAGGTCAGGGTGTGACAAAGAGCGCAGAGGTCAGGGTGTGACACGGAGCACAGGGTGTGACACAGAGCGCTGAGGTCAGAGTGTGACGCAAAGCGCTGAGGTCAAGATGTGTTACAGAGCGCAGAGGTCAGGGTGTGACGCAGAGGTCAGGATGTGATGCAGAGGTCAGGGTGCGACGCAGAGGGTGTGACACAGAGCGCAGTGGTCAGGGTGTGACTAGAGAGCAGAGGTCAGGGTGTGACGTAGAGGTCAGGTGGTGCAGTGCTCAGATCATACCAACAACCAAAAATCATTTGTGTAGCGCTCACACATAATGAAAACCTAAAACTGAATAAGTTAGAAAGTGGTAAAAGATGGGTATTACTTTCAGCCCACAAGGACACGGAGAAAGACAGCAGATGCACTAACATACCTATATAATATACTATGCCGTATATGATATTAATTAAACCCTTTGTGGGCATATTTAATAAGAACAACCAATTAGAATTCAACCTTTGTTACCTAACAGTTATTTGCTGTGTGTTACTGCACTTCACTCTATGCTTTCTTGAATAGGGCTGCATTACTACTGAAGGAATTGTTTCCTCCCTTTTAAAGAAGGTGGTCTACTTTGTCATGTTCATAATGTGATATGATATAGTCATTCCAAATCTCTTTAAATCATGAGTATTTTTTTTTTTTTATTTGTATCAGTAGCAGTATTGCATGAAGTTATAACACCACTCAGAACCCCAGTCAGAATCAATAAATTACTCTAAAAATGTTAGTTCCCTAAAGAAAAAATGATAAAAATAGTAAGGAAGTAAGGAGATTAAGGCGGGATATGATTTTCATGTACAAGATGGTCTATAGTCATAGCAACATTAGCAACAAACTCTTTAAGATTCATTCCGTAACAAAGACTAGAGGCCACGACCTAAAACTGGTAGAAAAAAAATTCACACAACACAAGGGGCGAAGGGGGGTTCTTCTCAGTTCGAGCGGTTAGGGTCTGGAACTTGTTGCCACAAGCAGTGATTTCAGCAAATAGTGTGGAATCATTCGAGAAGCTTTTGGACGATTTCCTGGGAGACCATAATATACAGGGGTACAGGTACTCTTAAGAATGAGATGCCTCAAGGACCTATACACACACACACACACACACAATAGGTTGGACTTGATGGACATATGTCTTTATTCAACCTCAAATACTATGTAACTATGTAACTATGTAAAAATACAAAGTAAAATGACTATTAAAGTAGTATTAAAGTCTTTTTTGGCATACATCTATTGCTAGTAAGCAGTAGATATATGCCCCAACATAAAAAAAATATTTGCCAAATACCAACTAGCTTACCTGTCTCAGCCCTTCTCGCTTCCGGCTGCCCAAGTCCTGGCTACTGAATGCTGTGAAGGAGGCAGTGTGGGCGGGCGCATGCACAGCCCAGATCACCGGGAGTGAGAGAAGGAGACCGACACTGAAACTCAATGGACGCAGCCGGGAGTGCGGATGCCGGACAGACAGAAATACATTTTTAGATTTTGATTCAATAAAAAAAACAAATACATACGCAACTAAAAGGGGTTTCCAAAATATAATGATAGGACTACATTTGTGGCACAATTGGTTTAGACACAACAGTTATGGATATAAAGTTTTTTAGTATCTGAATGACCTCAGGTTAACATCTTCTGTAATATCAACAATAACCTCTTCTCTTCAACAGCAACCAGATTTGGTAGTAGTTTTTAAGTGTCAATGTAGACGTATAAAAATATGAGTCTGTTAGAATATTCTAAGCACCTCTTGCTCACCTTTAGCTAATTCTCTTTTTTTGGAATACAATTTATAATATATTTGCCTTTATATTTAATATATGTATTGGTTCATCATGTATTATATTATGTATTATTTCAACATCTAAATATCCAAGCATGAATCCTTATAATATAATTGTCCAGACTTTTATTAGATACTCCAAATCTCCTGGGATATTATTATTGTTAATTTTCTTCAGTGATCTAACTTGCTTTGAACATAATTAATCCTTTGAGTCTAGTTAATGTTTGTCTACACTGTGATAATCCAAAGTGAAACAGTAATCTTCACA